GGCATCAGCAAGCCAGGACTCCACAGAAATGCACAGGCAGACCCAGGAGCAATAGGCAGGTTTGTCAGTGGCACTAGCATGTTAACATCTGGCTGCCTCTGTAGACAGGTTAGTGGTTACCAGGGATAGTCAGGTCCAGCAGTCTCAGCTTCTGCTGGATATACACACAGACCTGCACTACATTGCTCTAACCACTGGTTCTCAGCAAGGAACCTCGACCACACTACAGGTGCCCCCTTTGCTACAAGGAGACTAGGTGGTGCCAGAGGTATCAAGTTGGAGGAGGAACCATACCCATGGCATCCAAACGTCTCATCTCAGGACACTCCAGTAGTGACTGAGCTAACCATTTCCACCCTCAGCCCTGCGAGAGTCCAAGCCAAGGAGTATACACTGCCTCTGGGCAGGACACACAACGTGTCAAGGCCTTTTGGACACATAAGCTAACATCTTACTCCTACCCCGTACACAATTGCCAACAGTCCCACATTTCCACTTCAATTCCATCCTGGGGTGAGTCTGGCCAAATATCTAAGGCAAATTGACCAGCGATGACTCCTGGGCTCAACCTCTTACTATTGATGAATTCCAAAATGCAAAGATTTCCTTCTTGGTAGCCCTCCCAAACAACCTCCAGGCTCTGAACTTCAAGTCCCCACCCAATCTGTCCAAGTAAATCTTCATCTGTTCACTTTACCCACCTCCCAGGCACATCAAGTAACCAGACCAGATTCAGTGGCCGTCTATCCCCCACCTCTCCCTTCAAAGCAAAAGTGCTCCTGATTGATGATTCCCCCCTTACTTCATTATCCCTTTCCCTTCCATGTACTATCATTTCTTCTCCATGATATATTGAGTTAACTCCACACCAGCGTTCAGTATTGTAATTCCCTGTCCATCCCAGCATTGTCGTTCCAAAACCCACTATTAAGTTCCCTAGCCTCCCTCTCACAGTCATGCGTGCTGATAAATGTACTTGACTTTCAGTGAATGAACCCTAGGATTGATTATGGACCAAGTTGAGCAACTTAACTGGACAGCCCCAAATGTTGAGTGACCAGATTCCTGACTGATATCTATACAGCTCCTTGACTGTGTTGCTGTGACTCCCTAGACTGGTTGCACTGGACCTAGAGGGCTGACCATGGCCAACTCCCTGTACTGGACAAGAATGGAGTCCCTGACTATCCTAAGAGGCCGACTGACCTTGTCCAAGGCCCTGGTCTGATTCTGGAGACTGCTCTCAACTTACTGCACTGGCACCACCGATCTGAAGGGCAGCTCCCTGGACTTGACAGAGGACTGCTCCCATTAGACTTTTAAACATGGCTGTTTGCTTGAAGCACATGCAATCACAATGTAACTATGAAGCTGGCACATGGTGCAGGTTTAACACTATCAAAGCACCATGCCTTAAAGTAACATGTGCCTCCACTTGACTGATGACTGCTGAAAACTGTGCCAAGCTACTTGGCTTTGTGTCTGCACTAAACAGCAAGGCAAGATGCAACTCCTGTGAGCCTCTAAGGGAGAAAGCGCAAATAGGAAAGGCAAGGGAGGAATGTTTTGAGCGTTGAGGTAGGCACTAAGTGAGTTAGCCAAGAGAGAGGGCCAGCAGCCTGGTCCATTCCATGAGCTGGGTGCCTGGACTAGCATGCACAGTGTCTTTGCAGCAGCATTTCAATGAGAGGTGTTGGTGAGCTCCAGATTGCAGCATTAAAGTGAGGCAACACATTGCAAGTGGTTTGGAAATGTGCCAAGATGACACAAGGAAACTGGTACATATCAAATACCAAGGTCCATGGATATGAGATGTGTGCAATCATTGCCCATGAAGTGTGCCTCGAGACATTGGTGCCTAGTGTCCCAGTTGGAGGTCTGGTCCAGCAAGTGGTGACCTAGCTTTGCCAGGTACTTGCTCTGACTTTTATGTTGGGAATTCTTGGTGTCTAGTTTTTATCTGGCAGATGGGTGAAAGGAGACTGCATACAGATGAGGTGAAGCTAATGAGTAATGATGGTGATAATAAGCAATTATCCGTTAGTGGGCCTCTTGCTGTGCACTGAGAATCTTGTCTCAAAATCCAGGTCTTGGTTGGAAAATGCTACATTTTGGTGTTGATGTAAAGAAGCTCTCTTGGGATAACATGCCTGACTCTTTATTTTTCCCAAATTTCTCACCATAGCCTATGTCATTCAAGGAGTGGATATATTCTATGTCACAGTCAATTAGCAAGGTTGAAAAGTGGGGAGCCAGTTCACACTACCTCACCTGGTCATGACAAAAAAGGAAGGACATTTTGTATTTGATAGAAGTCAGCAACTTAATTTGTGTGCAGTTCAATCATCGTTGAGTTGTTGCTCTTGAATTAAGGAAATCTCAAAATAATCACTTTTCTGCAAGGTTTTAATCTCAGTTGTAAGGTGCAAATGCCAGCATCTGTACCTCTTTTTGAAGGTTACGAGAGATTGCAGAAAAAACGTTAACAATTTGCTCTTTCAAAAACATAAGGAGAGGCAAGGTTTTGGGTTTGTGCCCAGACATACTGGAACTTTTGGCATATCAGAACATGCCTGAGTTCATTGAGTTAAATGAGTGACACAGAAATCGGAAGAGGTCCGTTACAGGCATTTACTTAATGTTCTGATATCTGCTGCATTGATTTGTTCAATTAATTTCATGTAGATGCAGGAAAATTTCCTGTATGAGGGCCAGCTATGTTTACAGTTGCAAGGTTTTACAGAACTTACGAGCAAGAACAGTGTCATAAAGCTGAAAAAAACCTGGTTAGGGTGTTTTACTCTGCAGCAAACTTTACTGAAGTTACTTTGGTCACTCACGCTTCTTGGAAAACTGACGCCAATATGATTACCCCCAATTTCCCACATGCCCATCATTCGAAGCAGTTACACCACCTACTGTTTAAACTAGTGACAATTAGATTGGAAAAGAGAAATGGAAGGGTGTCAAACGTTGGTGACAATTCAATTTGTGTTTCCTTATGTTGGTTTAGAAAACCACACCAAAATCTGATGTGTGCACTTCATGACCTGACCAGATCAAATCTGTAATCCAGTCTCCCAACTGCCTGGAAAAGCTGACATTTGGAAATGCTTAAGTGAACTGAGACCAAAATTTATTTATATGGGATCCATTTCAATAATGTAAAACAGAAAAGTCAATGTTGTTATTAAAATATTAAAATTAAATTATATAGGCAAACATAGGTATATTTCAAAATATTATGTGAAGTTATTTGACATTGCATTGATATTATAATCATGCATTTCAGTTACATTTCTGTAGACTGCAGCATTAAGTTTACCTTATAACATTATAGTACTAGTAGATATCTAGAGTGGAAGAAGAAACTGGGAGCATGGGGAGCACTTCTACGGTTTCTAACAGGCCAAATATAAACACTTCTCTGCATGCCTTTACCAATGTGGATGACAGTGTAAAATATGAATATTTAAAAGTAATAATCTCAGTAAATTATCTGGAACTTCTTGATATCACTGGTAATTGGAGTCTGGGGTCAGCATTACAGTAGTGAGTAGTTGTTTAATCAAATCTACAACTTTATTGAAGTGAATGAATTAAGAAGTTTCATCCACATATTGTTTTCATCAAAATGTGACAGGTGTGTTCCAAACTAAAGGTTTTTCTTTCTTCTCACATGCAGCACTCAAACACGCAATGGTAAATTAAGAATTGTGTTTTCTTAGTATCACTCACATTGAGTGGAATATAATGTCATTGCCAATGCACTGATCAAGTTTATGGCAGTAAGCCTCACTGATGTCCTTTCTGCCTTGCTGTTAACTGAGGTCCTTAAGGGTCTCAGCCAGCTGCTAGCCTTAACCCAGTAGTGATCGGGTGACTTGTCATGCAGAGGAGGCTCAAACAAACTCCCCATCTCACAGTGGCCTGAGATCCAGTGACAACCCAACACCTCTGGTAGATCGCACAAGCATCAACCATGGCCTTAGCCTGGCTGACAACTGTTGGCATTCACGACTTAGAACCACAGAAATGATACAGCACTGAAGGGAGCCATTAGGCCCATCTTGTCCCTGCCGACTCAAAGACATCCAGATACCCTTTCTAATCTTGGTGTCAGTTCTTGGTTCCTGGGGAAGACCCGGGCTGTCCAATTAAGTGTCTGAGTGGGGTTAAATTTTAGGTTTTCTCTTAAAGAGGCGTTGCAGGGTTCTCCAGCAGCTGGGCAATACTTCTGTCACCTGCATCAATTCCAGTTTGTGGTTGCTCCTGAAAAAGACTCAATGTCCAGAATGACTAGCTGACATTATGTGCCATTTAATGCTTTTGTTTGTAAAACCTGCGGTATTTTTCTTTTACCGTGATTCTCTTGTTTGTTTTACTTATGCTATCTTGCTATAGTTTAAACTATCAGTTATTCTTTAGGGTACATGATGCTATTACAAACTTTATTCACCTTTGTTTGATAATCATAACCATATACCAAATATTGGTTCATTATTATCAATTACATGTTAAACCCTGTAAAATGTTCATGTAGAAAGTAGAACTTAAAAAAATACTTCTTTACGCATTCTTAAGTAAATATTGACAGCAATTGAACTACTTTGGAAGATCATGATACATCTACTGGGACATCAAGACACCATGTTAATGGACTGCAGCAAGACATCAGTTTTCATACCACAGCTGCGCACAATAGCCTGAGAAAATGGTTAATGTTTCAATATGAATGATATCAGCTTAGAGACTGGAACCAATTTACTAGCTTCTGAACCTTGGTGTTACCCAGTTCCATAAAATCACTCTGCATGAGCATTTTCTAACATTTCTACCTCAGTGGCAGGTTATTGTCTAAAATAAATAGGTTTCATACATGGCTGTAATTGGTGACACTAACAGCAGAGGGCGCACTTACTGTACACTAGCAGTCAGCATAGACAGGTGTCAAGTGTATAACATTTGACTCTCATATGAAGAGAAAAGCATGAACTTACCCAGCTTTTCTTTTTCTTCTTTTTGGCGTCAGCATCTTTACCACTCCCTATGCTGGAATGGCTTGTAATGCTGTTGAGACTGGAGATACTGTCTGATGAATTCTGCCTTTTTATACGCAGTTCTGTTAAAAATGACAATATAGTGGAAGTACATTACAACTATCTGCTGACACGAGATCTTTTTCAAGGGAAAATTCTGATATTTCTCATTTACGTTACATTTAACATTTCTTATTCTACCAAAAGCTTGGAGAAATTTATTAAACCAAAATCACAATCAATTTTTTTCTCTAAGATCATTTCAATGTAGTAAGATGATTGACTCAAGAATCCATTTTTCAATGCTGGTGAGTTAGGTTTTATAAATATTTTGGCATTTACTCTAGTTAATATAGTTCAGGGTTAAGCCAAAATATGCGAGACAGAAATTAAAATTACTGTTTGTAGGGTTTCACATTAATAAAGATACATATTTGTAAGCAATATTTTCTGTTGTTATCATGCTTGGCAACATGTTTAAGCATTGTGGGATGATTTGTTTAGTTTGTGATTTCCAATTAACTTATAGACCACACACTAAGGACTGAATTTTCCAATCCTGGTCTGCCATGAGCCAGTGTGAAATTTCTCACAAGTCCTTTCACTTTTCACTTCATTAATTTTGCAACTGAGCTGTTGGGTATGTTTCTTAGGGAATCACATGTATAGAGAATAGCTCATCGCTGGTGAGACTGACTGACACACACACATCTCTGGAACCATATTGAAGATTACAATTTACGTACAACTTTAGATATTGCAAGCCAGGAATGATGGCTTGCTGAGGTCCTTTAAGCCTGCAAATGTCCGATATGAAAAGCAAGCTAGCTCTCCACTTCCAGGATAGGGATCTGGAGGTGCTGATGGATGGGGTGGTGGAGAGAAGATCAACTCTTTGCCACTGCTAACTGCGAACAGGCACAGCCAGCCTAGATAGCAATTGCAGTGTAAGTCAGGGTTATAGCCTGCAGCAATGCCACATGATGATCAATGATCACCTGCATCTTGCACGGGCAAGTGCCACCCTCTTCCTTTTGCTACCTCACACTCAAAGCCAGCATTCATTAGGTCTGCCTTTGTGGATGCATCTTACCAATGCTGATGGACTACAACCCTCAGTATTGCATGCAGCATGTCCACTGTAGGTCTCTCACCCACCTCTGTTTCCTAAATTACCACACATCTGGCCCTCTACTCCCTCACTACCTCTCCTGTTCATGCATGACCATTAACTACTCTTGCATCACTTTCATCATATTTAATCTCTTACTTTGTCTCATTGCAATGTAAAAATTGGCTCACCTCTTGGACTGATGTCTCAACAGTTTCCTGAATAACCTGCTTGTAATCCTCTGGCTCCTTGCATGATCTGCAAGGATGACTGTGGCCAATGCCCCCGGACTTGAATAGGATAAGCTCATCGAATGCGATAGTATAGTCCTAACCATTATATCCCTTCATCCGACAGAGGTCCCTGTTATGGACCAGACCAAACCCCCTTCAAATATATCAAGGAGATAGCCTAGACTTTTTCATATTTAAAGGTAAGTGTAAAGTGCTGTGTTCTAGATGTAATTCGATCGGTTACACTACTTGGCTTTAAGTAAAACACACTTTATTCTTACTCTACAGTTAAAATACCAACAAAAGAAAGAAGAATTGGTCTAACTTGATCTCTATTGTAAAACTTAACAGAATAATAGATTATTTAAGTCCTAAACAGTGACTATTCCAATATAAAAACATCCCATAAGCACACACTTGGCAAAGGCAAATTTGGTAAAATAGACCGTCTCACATGCAATGTTTCTCCAGTCCAGGAGAAAAGAACATCAAGAGAACATTCTGGCAGAGATAGGGAACTTAAGCTTTTAGCTGTAACCGAGAGAGATGTACAGCAACTTCAAAACTCCAACAACTACTGAAAGCTAAAATCCTACGGGAGCTTGACCCTACCATTCAGGCTGCTTCTTTTGTTCCAACTTAAAAAAAAAGCAAGGCCTCACTAGCTGTTTATTTTATTGGCTTGGAACAGACCACTGTCTCTTAACCTCTCTTCATAAAATAAAGAATAAATACATCTCTTAAAGCCATAGTACTATCACTAGAGAATGGAAAAAAAAACAGATTCTTAATGTCAAAATTCAGACATGTTTCAACTCTTACACTTGCCATTTGCTCAAAGCTCTTGGAAAGTGTTTGCTGAATAAGCTGTTGGCATGTGCTGCAGCTCTGAATCTGAGATAGCATAGTCCTTCAGAGTGACAATTCGATTCCTGTCTGCATGTTAGACTCACCGTTCAGTGGTCTGCACTGTCACAAGCTGTCTTTCTTGCCCTTTGTGCTAAAAAGCATGTTAAACAGTACTGGGTGGCAGACAGTAACTGACTGCTCATCATCTTGTGCAAGAAGAAAGCAATGTTACTGAGAGAGAGAGAGAAAAAGAGAGAGACTGGCAGCATCCCATAAGTGCACAAGTCAGTGAGTGCGAAGAAATCATGTGTCACGTCAGCATAAAAAAAAACATCCTGTGCAGACATACCAGGTATGTGCGCAATGGGACCTGGCAAGAAATATGCAAGTGTCAGCTCCAAAGTAAAATGCTGAAGCGTCTGACATAATAGCTGTTAGTCCAAGAACAGACGTGATGATGCTGAGATAGTGGTTTTCTGGTGCCATGTGGTGTGAATAAAGGTTTGAGGAGAATGGTGGCCTGTAAGAACATTTTGCAGCTGAAGCAGTTGCATGATGGTGGGGACAGGCATTCAGCAAGATGGTGGGGACAGGCATTCAGCAAGATGGTGGGGACAGGCATTCAGCAAGATGGTGAGGACAGGCATTCAGCAAGATGGTGAGGACAGGCATTCAGCAAGATGCAGCTGCCTGCCAGTTACTCAGTTTTACATCAGAGATAGTAGGAACTACAGATGCTGGAGAATCTGAGACAACAAGGTGCAGAGCTGGATGAACACAGCAGGCCAAGCAGCATCAGAGGAGCAAAAAGGCTGATGTTTCGGGCCTAGACCCTGATGAAGGTTTGCTCCTATGATGCTGCTTGGCCTGCTGTGTTCATCCAGCTCTGCACCTTGTTGACTCAGTTTTACATGTCGGGTTTTCGCATCATTTACTTTCTCGAGGGAGGAGATTTGGAAATGGGATGTAAATAGGTCGAGGTGGGGTTTTAATGAGATGCAAATATATGGAAACAACTTAGTTACTGCTCAAGGGCGAGATTCCAAAGTTGCCATTTAAGACTCAAGACGAAACACGTCTGAATTTTGACATTAAGAATCTGATTTTTTTTCCCATTCTCTCCTTACTTTGTGACCTTACTTGCCATTACACTCACCACACCAGGCAGGGGAAAATTTTGCCCAGAGGATCTGCTATGGCAGGAGTAACAAAAGTAGAGAAGCATCCAAAAAGCCTCAACATTAACATCCCAACAACAGACAAGAGGGTCAATGGAATTTAAAGCTTTAAAAATTGCATCCTCAACACTTGGCAGAATGTTACTTCTGAAGGCAGGGACTAGTACTGGATGATATTCAGGTATCAAGAATACGAAGGAGGATGACAGGAATTCCACCTCAAATTGTACCAACACTTGAGTGTGCTGTTGCCAGACCTGCTAAGCTGAAAAGCCTGGGTAGGTGTGCAGCCCTGCCTGGAGCCTTCAGGAGAAAGGTCAAAGGAACTATCAAAATCTATAATGGTACAAATCCATACAAAGCCCTCTGATCTAATTGCTGGGGGCATGAAAACGCTTTTCCCCAGGTGACTACTGCATTGAGCTGGCAGCCTCCCTGCAGTGACTGTGACGAGGTCAGCCAGGTGGACCTCATCGAATATGAGTTCCCTGATTGGGGCTGTTAATATGGTTCAATCAGGGAGCCCTGGCTGGCAGATATAAACTGGAGTGTCAGACATCCTGTTCACTCAGAGCTGGCTCTGAGACAGCTGGGTCAGTGTCAAGGGCTTTCCACGTGTAAACAGAAGGTGACTTTGTGATGGGATACTGGCCTCTGTGGAGTTATTTCATTCCACATCCAATGACAGCAAAGGGACTGGCTCATCACCAAAGAAGAAGTACCGATGACCAAGCTAAATGCATTAATGGATCATTTAATTACTTATATTTGCTTCCTGCCTCATTGTAAGACAGTATTTTCTAAACCCACAATCTCTACCACCTAGAAGGACAAAGGAAGCAGATGTATGAGAATACCACTGAAAGCAAATTGCTTTCCAAATCATACATCATCTTGACTTGGGACTCATGCTATTCTTACACTGCCACTGGGACAAAATCCTGTAACTCCCTCCCCAACACCCTTGAGGATTTACCTACACAGCAAGGAAAGCAGCAGTTCAAGAAGGCAGTTTATCACCATCAGCTTCTCGAGGATGGTTAGGGATAGGCAATAAGTGCTAGTTCAGACAGCAAAGCAGTAATTAGTGGCTTCAGATTTGTCTTGCTTTTAGTGAACAGGATATATTTGACCAATTTTTGACTTTGCTGGCTTGAAGCCAGTGAATGTAGCTCTATTGGAACAGTTTCATAAGGGGCAAGGCTACCTTAGGAGCTGAAGTCTTGAGTATTATTGCTCGTATACTGTCAGTGTCCAGTGACTTAAGCTGTTTCCTGATAACACGTGAAATTCATCCAACTGGCTGAAGACTGGCAACTGTGATGCTCGGCAAGTTGAGAGGAAGCTATGATTTATCATTGGCACTTCTGTCTAAAAGATGCATGCAAATGCCTCAGCCTTACCTTTTACACTGACACCCATCATTAGGGATATTTGTGAACCCTCCTCATGTATTGAGTTGTTTAATTGCCCACCACAATTCACAACTGGATGTTGGAGGGCAGCAGAATTTAAATCTGATCCATTGGTTGTGGGATCACTTAGCTCTGAATTTTTACATGATGCCTGTACTGCTTAGCATGCAGTCGTCGTGTGTTGTAGCTGTACCAGGTTGATACTTTATTTTCAGGAATACCTGATGCTGCTCCTTGCATACCCTATTTCATTCATCATTGGAGATGATGACATGGTCTTTGTTCCTAATGCATTCTCCACCTTATAACCTCTATGTAATGCTATTATATTTGATCATATCTTTGGAGACTAAGACATTTGAACCACCAGAAACAGTTTCTTCCTTTACTCAGTCACATCACTTCACAACATTTAAGAGTTCTATTAACTCAATTTATAATCACTTGCATAAAAGACTCATGTTTAATTTTTTTTTCTTGTTTCTCCCCACTTCAGGTGGCATGCTGGAAAAGCTGTTTTGTGTCCTATTGCCTCAACATTCTTTCTGTGGAACCACAATTGGACGCAATACACTATAGTCTTATTGAGATTTTGTATAGATTTACCTGAAGATTTCAATACTCCTCTTGCTTTAAACCAGCATAAAATGTGTTTTTTTTTGTGCGTGTGAATGACGTTATCTGCTTGGAAAACTGCTTTTGTCAATCATTTTTCTATCCCACCAAAATATGGCAGCTTGTGCATACTCTCATGGAATTCCATAAGCCTATTTCTTCCATTCCACCATGATAATTATGTCTTCTTCACCTTCTTTTGATCCCCAGAATTATATGCCATGCCTCCTATTTTCATATCATGTTAATAGACCAAGAGACAAGCCATTTTGAGTATAGTTTACCAGTTCCTATCACTGAGAAAGTGTTCTTAAGTCCTATTTTTAAATTCCTCCCTTCTGAAAAGTTTTCAATTCAATTTGCTATCTATTTCTTCATTCCATATTCTTAAATCTTCATCAATAGTCTTCTGAAAATCTTTGACAAACTGCTTCACCAAAGAGGCAAGTGTATCACTTTCATGGTATTTCTCCTTTCTGTCCTCCAAATCCTTCATGGGATTTATCAAGCACAGTCCCTCTTTATGAACTCAGAATTGATTGTTTTCTAGCTATTTTTACTTCCTTTAGATATGTAGCAATTTCATCCTTAAAGATAGAAAATATTCACCACACACATTAAGCCAAATGGACTATAATTCAAAATCTCCCCTCCCCCATTGCATCCCAAAAACAGCCCAGCTCGTCCCCGCCTCCCTAACCTGTCCTTCCTCCCACCTATCCCCTCCTCCCACCTCAAGCCCCACCTCCATCTCCTACCTACTAACCTCATCCTGCACCTTTGACCTGTCTGTCCTCCCTGGACTGACCTATCTCCTCCCTACCTCCCCACCTACACTCACCTTTACTGGCTCCATCCCCGCCTCTTTGACCGGTCTGTCTCCTCTCCACCTATCTTCTCCTCTATCCATCTTCTATCCGCCTCCCGCTCTCTCCCTATTTATTTCAGAGCCCCTTCCCCTCCCCCATTTCTGAAGGAGGGTCTAGGCCTGAAACGTCAGCCTTCCTGCTCCTCTGATGCTGCTTGGCCTGCTGTGTTCATCCAGCTCTACACCTTGTTATCTCAGATTCTCCAGCATCTGCAGTTCCTACTATCTCTGGACTATAATTACATGAGTTTGTCTGTCATGATTAACAACAGTCTCTCTACAGTGAATATACCCTATTTTAGATAGACAAAGATAGAGGGAGAAAGAGAATGAATAGTAAGGAAGCATGGGAATTCAAACACTTTACTAGCTAAGGTTTAAATGACTGAAGAGAAGCCATTGTTCAGTTCTTTTACTAACAGATTAAGAATTACCTTTTGGTGTCAAGTCTGGGTTGTTCAATGCTCCCTGTATAACAGCTTGTGCTTCTGCATTCTTTTTATGCAACATGTCAATTGTTTCTTTGAGATCGTATAACTCCGAATCCTGTTCGAAGTTAAAACAGAAAAATACCAAAAGGAAGAACTTTAGGGAAACATTACAGTGCTGAACTTGAAAATATTATCAGTAAATAAATACAATATTTTATCAAAAATAGTATGAAATATTTAATAGTTGATATACTGACTGCAGCCTTACTATTCAATAGACCCAGCATCATGCAGAACATCAGCATAAAGAATCCAATTACTGTACAGGGTTTGGGAATAATTTAATTCTAGAGCAGTTATGATTAACTGAAACTAAAATGTTTTTGCTTAAATCTGTAGTGAGAAAGGAACATTGAAATTGCTTGCTGAGTTTTACTGCAGTAAAATAGAGAATTTGCTCAAAGTCACTTTTATCCATTTATCATTAAATTTCAAAACTAATTAGATTCTGGTCAGACAAAAATGAAAGGATCTTTGTTGTAGATGTTCTTGTGTGAAGCCTGTGTGTTCTGTAAGTGTTGCACAATGCAGGAAGGTACATGTGTTCTAATCATGTTCCTCAGTGGGAACTTACTTAAAGCATATCTGAGTTTTTGGTATCAACATGGTTCAGTCTGTGTCTAGATCAACTAGGAGCCAGCTGCCTCATCGCTTCTCTTTTCCATTAAATCTTTGCCCGAGCTCAGAAATAGAAAGTAAGGTGTGTTCACCCAAAACAGTGTGTTCCTTTGCAGGAGAAAAACAGAAAAGTAACTGTTTTGTGTTCTTCAATGAAACAGAAAGAAAGGTAGTTTCAGCAGCAATATTAACATGTTCAAAAGCCACAGATGGCTTATTGCAAATAATAAATGCACCAATAAATTCACCCATTTTTGAGATGTAATCTTTTGGTTCCAGAATGAAATTGTTATTTTGTAAAACAACTATATATTCTGTGTTAATATTACATCCACCATCCCCTGTTTTTAAGAGATGGGTAGCAGCAAAAATGTTTTTTTTTAAACCCGTTAGCCTAACAACAAGACAGTGTGTGCCATTTTCCTTTACTCATCCTTGTTAAAGCTTTTATCAGATTGAAGAAACCCAAGTTGCGTTGGTTAGCGAATTGAAATATCTACCTGGACCATGTTTCCTATCTATAGTTATACATCTCAGCTGCTACATTACCTGGAAGTATTCATCTGTCCACCACTGAAGTACACGGAAGTGCCCGAATGTATTTCTCTAAATGTTCAGAGTAATGTCAGAACCTGCTCTTCACTTATAAATACCGTGTTGACACAGAATCCAAAATATCATTATGGCAATGATTGTTCTGTATTATTTACCCTGTTAGAGCAGAAAAACCTGCTGTGCACCATCTGCCAATATGATAGAACAGATGGCAATTCTTCACCAAGTTTCTTCTTCTTTCTCAGTATACTCCTACACATGAGTACTTAAGAACTGAGATCATAACGTGCCTCACCAATGCAGAATTTGACAACATATTAAGGTGGAATGATCTGATGTAGTCTTAATTCAAACAGTAGGTGGATTATTAGCTATTGTTTCATTGCACAACATTTAGACATTAATGTCATCAACCTGGTACTTCATTGATAAGTCTAACATTATGGTTTAGAGACAACCAAGTTTGGTTCTCACAGACCTTCTGTTCTGCTGTCAAAGCGAGGCTCTGTAAACGAGATGTCATGTTTGTCAAACTTTGTTCAAATGCTGCCACAAGATGAGCCTAAAAATTAGCAGGAGAGAAAAAAAACAAAGAAAACAACCATTTAGTTTACTTTATCTTTTTCTGAAATACATTCTCAAATGTTCAAAATGATTTACACAAAATTAGTTTCGCTTCAAAATTAAATTTATTCCAACTCAGATTAATTGAATTCCTTGTCATATAGTTAACTAACTACCACAGAGGTGTGTATATCTTGGGCGCTCACAGAGTGCAGTGCATCTGCCAACTTGCTGAGTAAACCCTTTCTTTGACAATTTTTGTAGCTCAATGAAAAATGTGTGGCTGAAATGAATCGAATTTTCAGTTCCAAAGTTATAGAAATGGTAAATGAAAGCATAACAACGTTGTTAAGTACTTTACTGATGACATAATTTTGGAGCTAACAATTAGTAAAGAAAGGTTTAGAGGGTGCAAAGGATGATCATGGATGTTGTAAATGTGGTTAATTCTAAATAAATACAATAAATCAAACTGAAGCTTTGATGAAGTGCAGAACAGAAACCCTCTGATTCAATTCTTGCTCTGTAATAATGATTCGCTGAGCTCAGATGAGGTACCTCTGGTCACAATTGGCTATGGTTTTCTCAGGTCAGTGAGCAGAAAGTTTATCTGCAAAGGGTCTGGATTTTGAATGTGAACAGGAAGGTCCTTCATGGGCAAAGAGATGGACAATGCTCCCGCATGGAGTTGAAAAATGGTAATTTCAGCTAGGCACTAAATGTATCACCAGGTTGTGCATGCAGCCCAGCTGTACAGGGGAGACATAGTTGATGTTAAAAGCACGGCCGCGTTGGCATACCACTCACTGACCAAAAATGTCCACTGGTCAGCATTCATGTCCCAACTTTTCAAACTGGGTAGCTGGAAACCAAATATCAATTCTTCACTCTGTCAGTTGTTTCGAAATTAATTTTCAATTCATCAGTTTTTGAATTTAATTCAAATGCAGATCCCAAACATCAACAGGATACAGTGAAACAGTATAATGAGGACGGCCTAATGTGTTGTCCTTGTGGCTGGTTTTGGAATCATAAGAACTACTGTTCCGTCAATAAAATCGCCCACATATTAAATATTGGAATCACAAGCACAGAATATGCATAAGGCACATTAAGAAAACAAAAATATTTAAATTAGGTTTCACTGCAATGCAACAGGAGTAATTCAGCGGCTATCTGGGCATTGAGTGTTATTTTGGAGTGGATGTTTTAAAGGAAGTGATGTAGAGGTAAGAACGTTTTAATCAGTTATTGACTATTCTTTCATGACACCTTGCCGTACCATTTGCAGGGACCCTAGTGATCTACTTTTCTTTGGATACTGCTTCTGGGCATTATAATGGTATAGGCAAACATCAAAAACCAGAATATCCTGAATATTCCTTGCAGTGCATTGCTCCATGGCTTTAGTCATTATCACATTACTTTTCACAGAAATGCAACAATAGATGTGGTTTATTAAATACAGTGTTGCTGTGAAGAAAGTACAAAGAAACAACTTACATTTGTAGACAGTTGTGATGTAAGTGCAGAAACCTTGTCATGTGAAGACTCAAGTTCCCTACGTAGTTTGCGAATATGCTGCAACAAATACTTCCACATTAACTCCAAGTTGTTTATAAGATTGCAAACACCATATGCAAGACAGATTTTATTTTGATATGTCCCATCAAGCTAACGGGTCTTTTCAGAGCTCGAAATTGATATAAATTGTTGCTTTACACTAATGTGTAACAGGAGGAGTAGGGATGTATCTACTTTATAGTGAACAAATATCTAAGTGAACTTTCTAATGAACTAAATCTCCATTACCTACTACATTGCACAGAAACAAATCAATAAATCATTGGATGCACATACCTCTCCTTGGGCCTTGTCTTCACTCTGCAGGAAAAGAACATAAAACATTATTTTCAAATTCTCAAAATAATGATGCAGAAGGCTTCTAAATGTTATGTTCCGTCAAAACACATCTTAAGTTGAAAGTGAGCACTCAAGCACCAGTCATTCTTCTGAATGTATTTTATGGCTCAGGAAATGAAGAAAAGCAACAGCAAGCAGCAGTCAATATTTTATATGTTGACACAGTAAATGTCAGTACAGAAAACTGACCAAGATTGGCTTAGTTTATTGAAGTGTAGGAAAGATACTTCTTTTCTAGAAAGGCCGTAACTCTTATCTCTGCACTGCAGTTTCTGTATTGACATTTTGCAGTGATTTTTTTGCTGCATTACATACACAAACATGAGACAATCTGGGACTTTTTAAACAGGCTGTTCTCAGAATGATAATAACATGGAGTCATAGGTAATCATATTCCTTGTAGAATTCATGACCAATGTTCATCTCAATATAAATTTCAAAAACAAGAAATCTGACAAAGTAGCTTCTTTGTGATAATCAATTTGCATTCAAACTGCATTTATTTTGTGCAACATTCCAACACAACAGTTTTTTTTTTCCATGAAGCAGTCTTATACTCTGCACAACGTTTGGCGAGGACAGCACAACCAAATGGTCAACGCAACTACCTATAGCTGGTAGGAAGTTAGCAACAGCATAGCATGATGGGTATTAACCATTCTCTTCCAAATAGAATATCTCACCACTGTAAATCACAATAGGGGTTAGTGGGGGATTGAAAGATGACTGCATTTACTGCAATTTTCAGACTAAAGGGATTACATTCTATTTCCCCAAATCTCAGATGCTGGCTGCAGATTTCTGCTATTCTATTATGAAGAACTTCCCTGTCCTTTTTGAACTTTTCCAATAGTTGAAATAAAACACAGCAATTGCGTGAGATTGCTTGCCTTAGAGCAGAGTGAGGTAAGGAAAGAATGGATCGAGGCTTTGAAGAGGAAAATAGGAAAAAAAAAATATCTTTCCATTGACAGGAGGGTTGATAACCAGAAGACAAATAAATTGCAAAAGTTCCAGGAGAGTTGGGCAGGCTTATTAATGTGGAGAAGTTTTCTTTAAACAGCAAATTGTTGCAACCTGAAAGGGTGATGAAAGCAAATTCAATAATTACTTTCAACAGAGAATTTGACATACACGAGAAATTTTGAAAGGTTATGTAGAAATAGTAGGGCAGTGAGATTAATTGGATAGCTATGCTGAGTGCCAACAGAGATCCAACGAGTCAGCTTTTATTGGATCTGACTGGGCTTTCACCCATTGGTTATAGAACTGGTAGGGATCCTTGTCAGTACTATGGAGGAGACCCAACAGAAGTCCAAATTAGGCGCCATTCACCATCGGAAGACAAATGCATAGCCTCTCCTGCAATTAAGTGACCTACCCGTCTACTTTCCTCACCATTGACAAGCTGCCTTAAATCCAACCTAATGGGCCAAGTGGCTAGACTCATTCATTTTCTCATCACAGAAGATACCAAATCCACAAAGTATTGCTACGTTCCCTGTACAGCGCACAATGCAGAGCTGCTAAGAATTTGTTCCTCTGTTAAGAGACTGAGCTAGCTTTAGACACAGAGTCAATTGATTCAGAGTGTAGACTTTACAGAAACAGAATCCATAAAAATATTCCACTCTTCAGAGTACTGCAGAGTATTTCAAACTAAATATTGATACATGAACAAAATAAACGCAATTATTTTATGTTATGTTTTCAGAATCGCATTAAATCATCCAGCGGTGCATGGGAATATTTCTTGCCAAATATGGATACATTTACAGTCAGAGATTTATTTGACACTAATAAAACTTAATTCTCATTTTTTTTAAAAAAAGCATAAACAAGACTTACTGTGGAATGAACAGATGATGTCGTGGAGGAAAGTGAAAGCACTGAACCATGAACTGCAAAACAGTTTTTTCAAATGTGATTATTGTACTAAAGTATATTTACATAACAAAATAGAAACATGACGTGTCCCTATTCCTGGTTTACAATGATGCACATCATAATATTAAAATGCAATCACACTTCTCAAAGACTATTTTAAGAAAAATTACTGAATCAAAGTTTGTAGACATCATTTATATCATAAGGTCTTCCTTGGTCCAATGCTATTTTTATTTATTAATATTTTCTGCCGATTTCTTTGTGGTACATTGTTTACCACCTCATCGAGTCTCGAGGCTGAGAAAATGTTTGTTGTCCACTTTTCCGGCACATGCCTTGCTTGAGTAAAGTTGCAATTTAGAGAAGCATGAAGTAAATGAATATTTCCCATCCTTCCTTCTCCAAAAGGGAAAACTATCCCAGTGAACAAGTCTGGTGGAGTGAGGCAGACAGGGGAACTTGTGATTGGGCACTGAATCACTGAAACAAAGAGGGACTCCAAGACACTGCTAGCTGGACAGGATCAGAGAGGCTGTGCAACTCTTATTTGATCCCTGAACCACCACTAACTTCTGGTGAGCTCAGAGATAAATGGTGATGATGGACTCGTTAATGAGACTAACTGACTTCTCACTACAAGCGAGCAAATTTTGGGGCCTTTTCCACCTTTGACTTAACTACAGGATATTTTCCTACAATTGATGATGGCAAAAACACTTTTACAAATTCTACAGTCCACTGTGCAATACAATGGGAAATGGGTCCCACAAAGCACCTAAGAAGGCCTATTAATCATGCTACCCATCTAAAATGGTTGGATTAAATTATACTGTTTTATAACCAGACACTGAGATGTGAGGAGATGACTCAGGAGAACCTTATTTGTGCAGAATTGTTACACACTCTCAAATAACAAGGTTAACAAGTAGCAGTAAATCAGTGGATTTAATTTGGGATTACTTAGTTAAAAGATGATGCTGCAAATGACCTCCAAATTTCGATTACTGTTGAAAGTCATGCCTGTTGTGTAGGCAAACATGAGATCCAATCGAGCAGAACAGGAACTCTCCAAAAATAAGTTTGAGAAAATCAATATTTTTGTCATCATTGGATAAACAACAGAAGAATTCTCTGCTCCTCCCCGAACAAAGGTGAAGGATTTTTTACATCTACCTGACTGTAACAGCCTCTGTTTAATAACTCTCAGTTAGCTCAGATGTGATGCTATTGATGTCACTCTGCATGGGTTCAATTCAGGCACTGGCTGAGGTTACCATAAACGAATCTCCTCTTTAACCTTTCCCCAGGATTTGGCATGGTGATCCCTCAGGTTAAACCACCTCTAGTCATATCTCTCTCTAATGAGGCAGCAGCTCTTTGGTCTGGTCAGACTATGGTGCTTTTACCTTTTAAAAAACAGATCTCTGACAGTATAGCACCCTCTTAGAATCAGATGGAGAATTCTTACTTGACGTATACTGATGGCCAATGTTGTCAGAGGATGGCAAAAACACTTTTACAAATTCTACAGTCCACTGTGCAATACAATGGGAAATGGGTCCCACAAAGTAGTGGCACCACCATTCAGCTTTTCGTGACGCAGGTTAATAACTGATTGTGTGAAATGTTATTTCAGAGACACCTCAATGAAGCCTTCCTGCTTGGTTCTGTAGTGGTTACAGACACTAATCAGATGTGTACTTATGCAATGATCAACATGTTAATTCATGAAATGTGCTGAAGTCCATGCAGTGTGCCTGGCATTCTGTGTGAGCCTGTCCTTGATATAAATGGGCAGGATAGCATCCTCAAATATTGTGTGCCATTTCTACAAAACCAGAGCCGGTAACTGGTCCTGCAGAATTATTTAACCATTTATTTGAATACATGGCAGACTTCCAACTCAGCCACATTTCAGAAGGTGGAGTTTCGCATTCCCAATCAAAATTTACAAAATACTTCACCATATCAGGAAGCAACATGTGATTGTTTGATATATGAATGCCATTCCTCGGGAACATAATTAATTGGATGGCCCACTGAAACAATATAAACGGGCCTTACATGTGAACTCCTCACAATCAGTATATACACAGGAACGCATTCAGTTCTCCCAAGCTTGTACTGCTATTCTGATTGGGTCTGACACATAGATGTATATATCCAAGGGAAACAATTTTCTTTTCATCAAAATGTATGCAAAACCTGTACAACAATGGAAACCCTGAAAATTAAAATCTTTGCAGTTGGCTCTTTAACCTTGTACCACTGCAGGACAGCGAGATTTCTGTTAGTCAATCACTCAACGGTATGGAAATTAGTTTTACTGAAAGCGAAGGAAGAGTAACTTTGTATCACATCAACATTTATTAAATATTAAATGCTGAATGAAATCAAAAGCCAGAAATGAGGGAGTCAATGATACTTAGAAATTCCTTATTAAGGTACTCTGTACAGATATAAACCATTCAGGCCTACCGCAGGCTCAACTTTGTGACGGTAATTGTGTTAGTTTCATTATTGGGTTAGAATGAACGTTAAAAGGGAGATACAAAGGAAGATTTAACTCAAAGCTTTGAGTTTTGTTAATAGGATTTTTGTTAACATATTGCATAGAAATCTTGTGGCTCTGTGGTAGTGTCCCTGACACAGGGTTAAAAGCTTTGGCTTCAATTTGTACTTCAGACTGTTATGGCCAAGGAAAGTGTATACATAACACAGGTTGTTTATCAGCTTGTAAAATCTACATCCGATGGCATGTAGTAAAAGCAGGAGAGTTTCTTGGTCAGTCATGTGACAGAAGGAAACTGGAGCCTCTAATGTAAGTGTAAAAGCAGCTTGGACTCCTTGTGAAGAGCCAGTTGGTCAGGCAATGTGCATCAGAATGGAGCCAACAGTATGGGGTTCGATCCCCATTCTGCGCTGGCAGTTGTTCGGGGTTGGTCTCCTTGCTTTACCTCTGCTGGTAATCAGTGTGAGGGTCAGACCTACTATCAGGCAGGGAACTCAAGAAGAAAATGTATTGCAGACAACTGATGCTTTTTACATGATCATTGCTAGCTCCATTGTAGCCCACTTCTCCCTGGAATCTGCTCCAACCAGAAGCAGTAATAGTCGCTGCAATTGGGTGGGGGAAGATACCCTAGTGCAAAATTCAGATTTTCCCAATTTCATGTGCATACATTTCCTAATTATATGCAGCATGAAATCTGTCATCGTTTCTTAGGCTTTGCAACCATTAAGTATTACTTACAGAGCCTCACATATTAGTCAAAGTCACAAAAGGAATGGAAATCCATCACAATAAATGGGATGTGAATGAATAGAAATCTGTAAGCCAATTTTTCTGAAGTAACACTTTAATTACAGCCTTTTTCACAAAATATATGTAGTTAGAGGCAGGATTACTATCTTAATTATATGCTAGACTTGGGGAAGCTTTGGAAAAGTGTGCAAAATGAGGGGCATAATTTAGTCTGATCCATGGGAGCAAGCAAGGAGGTAGCAGTAGCTGTACATGCAGGGATTTGGAGCAGGAGTAGGCCATTCTGCCCTTCAAGCCTGCTTCACCATTCAATAAGATTGTGGTCAATTTGACTGTAGTTGCTGCTCTACATTCCCGTCTGCTCTCCCATAACCCTAGAATCCCTGAGTATCAAAAATCTAATTCAGCCTTGAATAAAGCCAATAACCCAGCGTCCAATGCTTTAGGGAAAAGAGAATTCCTCAAACTGAATATTTTCAGACTGAAAAATTCTGTTGACTTCTTAAAAGCAAGAGCTCTTGTTCTTGAACAACGTCACCTAGTTCTGGCCTCAATAAGGGAATCCATCCTTTGTAATGACAAACTAAAGAACTGCGGATGCTGGAAATCAGAAACAAAAACAAATTGCAGGAAATACTCAGCAGATCTGGGGAAGGTAGAACATTCTTCCACAAAAGGACATTGTTTAATAAAAGTGGCAGCCTCCTTGAAATAACACCACAGACCCCAGCATCCTGTCACCAAGTCACCCTTTATCTACAGGTGGAGAGCCCTTGACACTGATCCAGCTCCCTCAGAGCCAGCTCTCAGAGTGAACAGAATCTCTGATACTCCTGTTCTTACCTGTCAGCCAGGGCTCCCTGATTGAACCAGATCAGCAGCCCCAATCAGGGAACTCATTCTAGGAGGTCCACCTGGCTGACCTCATCACTACATTCCTTGCAGACTGGCGCTATGGGGGTGGGGGGATTGCCCTGCTGATAGGGCATCCTGTTGCTCACCTCTGTTGTCCAACCTGCACCCCTCTCCAGTATCTGCCTGTACGGCCTGACTTTTCTTGCCTCGGTTCTGGGGTCACCTCCATCTTGCTGGTCGCAGCGGAGTGCAGTTCTAGCAGTGGCCACCACTTCAGGTGGTGGTGCTGCTGTGACTGGAGAGCAACAACTTGAGGATGTAGGGACCGCAGCAATTTTTAAACAACAGGTACTTTTAAACACTCAGGGCTGACACTGAAAATAAAGCGAATCCACACAAAGAGAGGTAATGCGCTAATAACAGTCCAGAAATTCCAATCACTGCCAGAAATCCTATTTCGGACCTTGGCCAAATGAGAATACACAGGTACATTTAGATGACATCTACTCTCCTAGTACTAGATAGGAGCCTCTTGTTACAAAACGTTGGAGACCAGCACAGGAAACCTGAAAGACAGCAGGAGATAGGACCATCATAGATATCACAAGCCCCTTTTGCAGTAGACAGTAGGCTTTAATTCTGTGATTTACATGTCCAGCAGCATATCCAGCTATTTGATAATTGCTGTGACAAGGTGAATGTGAGAGATGGATAGGGTGCCAGGTGAGAGAATGTGTGCGTGAAATTGTGTGTGTGTGTGTGTTGGAGGGGGCAGGTAGATGATCATTTAAGGCAAATTGAGGGGCCAGGCAAAGGGGAAGGATGGGGTAGCCATGAAGCTTGTATCGGGGGGAAAACCATGTGTTGGATAGAGAATGGGCATCAGGTCTGTCAGAATCAAGGACTGTAGTGGAGAGAGAGTTCAGTATTATAGTTATTCAAGAGTTAGAGTAGGTCTTTAATCCTCTAACCTTTCCTGGGTAACTATTAAACTTAAACAAATCAAAATTGCCTAAAATCTCAGGCTTAAAGATGCAAAATAATTGCCAATCAGAATTTTTAAATTCCTGGTCAATATTCTCAGTCAGCCGCATTGGGATTTTTATATGGTCCTGAAGCATAATTTTAGTCTGCGCTGCTATGACAACTATCTGGCTCAGATACTTTGATGGCCAGTCAACAAATGAAAAGCCGAGCAATGAGACTGACAGAAAACAGCTAACCTCTAGGCTCTGTAAGCAGCATATGTGGGGGGCCTTGCATGATTATCTGTGCTCCCCATACAAGTTACAATACAGCTGGGCAGTGACTAAGCAAATATTTTTAGCCTCAGACAACAGCTCGTGTCTTTGCTAACAAGTCCTTTGCAGTTTATTGGCACTAAAGCACCTCCACTGAGATCTCCATCTGGTTCTTATGAATAGTACAGAAATCTGCAGGGTAGCGAGAAAAAAAGCTGCGAAAGAATAATTTAAAAGATCGGATATAAATAGCATTTGCTGATAATGTTAATTGTACCCCCAAGGTAGACACACAATCTTGCTGTTATCTGATCAGGGTAGTGTGTGGTCATTTTCCCAGTGGGATGTTTGGTTGGAATGCTGTAGTGGGAAACTCAAACTAGGAAACAGATATACTAAAAACAGACAAGTGAACATTTCACATTAATCATCGGAAAAAGTTCCAGACAACTATGGAAAGGCAGCTCTTTTGAGTTGGAGCCAGGTAAAAGAAAGAAGAGAATACAAAGAAGCAAATAATGAAGTAAGTGCTGAGACACGAGCGGAAATTTAATAAAAATTGTGCTGCACAAAACGTTAAACAAGGTATGAAATGGAAAGGAAAGCAAATAACTCCTGTTAAAAAAAAACAACTACCTCCCCTGCTTGGATAGTGTTCCAACTGTGCTTTTAGCCTGAGGAATTCTTGGGTCATAATATTGATATAGCTCTTTTGTTGTTTCCACAAAAAAAGATAAGACATGCTCAAGGTCTGGAACACAGTCACTACTTCAATTAAATAGAACCTGCGTGCTCCAGTACAGAATTATTGTTTCCTTTCTTAAAATACATTTTCTACTGCCAACTTGTACAAGGAAACCCATCTATGCTAGTGGTATATAGATATTCTTTACATGAACATGCAGTGAGAGGTACAATCTACCTGCTGAGACAAGGCAGTGTGCGACCACAAGGGACTCACTCAATCGTGTTACTGTCATCTGGGCCAAAACTAATAGAATTACTCTTTAGGAGACATGCATTTCAAAACATCCGTCAAAAATAGGATTTGTATCAACACCTTGATATCCAGGCTACTTTAAACAGCAACAATTCCTTCTTCAACGTGATATTCTTGGTCAACTAGTTTGCACATTATTTAAAGCAACAGTTAAACGTTAATACTTTGTTGGGATTAAAACATTTTTCTAAGTTAACACTGATGATGATGTTGCTAGGGTGGAAACAGGAGACTGCCCCATTTCCGATGAGACCTATGCTTCATTTTATTGAGTGGAGGTCAATTTAGTCTTTGTGGCCAGGTCTGCCATCCCATTAAAGGTAACAGGCATCTCCGAAGAGCCAACAACCCAGTCAGAGAGCTGGTAATTCAGTTGTACTTCAGAAAGCACCGGTTAGACAAAGACAACACATTCATGGACTGAGATAGCAAGAACTGCAGATGCTGGAGTCAGAGATAACAAAGTGTGGAGCTGGAGGAACACAGCAGGCCAGGCAGCATCAGAGGAACGTCAGCTTTCCTGTTCCTGATACTGCCTGGCCTGCTGTGTTCCTCCAGCATATTCATGGACTTGTGCTTTCACTAGCAGGCCTGTGGAGTCCAAAAGTACTCGGGTTAGTCAGGTCAACCCCACTGGAGGGGTAGGAGATCACTGAAGAAAGGTGATTCTGATTTTTCCTAAGTAGCCATTTCCACTGCTGAGTTACTTTGTAGGCCAAGATTGCCCAAACAGGAGAAGTTCTTCCAGTGCAGTGCTGGAAAAGGCTGAAAATAACAGGAACTGATACGAGGCTTTAGAATGGGCTGTTAAGTGAGTGGAACTGTGCTGTGTCATTCAGGTCTGCTAAGAGCTAAGATTCCAGAAATTCAGTAACTGCTGTCTCTACCAATTAAGCACGAAATTTGGAATTGGTCATGAGCACAGACAATTCCAGATAAGGCACGTACTTGGACAAAATATTTAGGATTGGTCATGTGCATGGATAATTCCAAATAAGGCATACACTTGGCACAGAGACCTGTGTAGAAAGAGCCTGAGAAAATCCTTTGTTCTGCAGAACTTTGAGGATTAATAGTGCAAGACGTACCGTACGTCAGAAGGTGTGGTTAAAGGATGTCAAGAAGAATTCCAGCCTGTCCAGCTGCCAACTCTTCTCCAGTAATAACGTTTGGGATTAGTTACAGAACCCAGAGTAGTGAAAGACGGTGACTGACATATCTCTAGTAGTTAAAAATGTTAAATTATTCATTCAGTACTTTTGAATTTTATAGAGCTCTAAGTGTTGCCGATGTATCTTTGTCTATGTATATATAGTTGTCTCTCTGAGACAGGCACCAGTAGAGTACAATGTAAAGCTGCCAGGGTTTACCGTTATTCCCACACAGTGTGCAGCTCCTCCCTGACAACTTGAGCCCTGCAGTTAAATGCCAGTGGAACCAAGTAGAGCACACAATTAGCTACAGCAATGGCTCAATTTAGTTTCAGGATGGACTTTCCTCCTCCAACCCCATCCTGAATGTTGTGGAAAATTCAGCCATTCTCTCAGAGTGTTCTGAGCGATATGAAATATTTAATAGTAAACAGAAGGGTTTGATGTCAAGTCTTCAGGTATTAATGTACATAACTGGTGCATATAATGCTAATTGGCTTGTTAATGCATTGGGGTTCCAAGGTTATGAAAGGTACCAAACAAACATACATTCAGAACATTCTTTCTTACTGGCTTTGAGCCTGACAGAGATTTTCAAAATTTAAGTGCCTTGTACAAAATACCTACAAACTAGTAAACACTTATGTGACTATATAATCTTGCAACATCAAACAAAATAAAAATATTTTACATAACATTGGCTGAAAATCTGAATATTCACTCTTACCTTCATCCACTGGATCCCTAAACGATCCAGAGCGGATCATTCCTTTTGGTCTTTCTGCCAAAGAAACTGTGCTTCCCATCTGCAAACTTCCATACAAATCGAATGAGGAGTCGTGAGTTGGAATGCTGTTTGAGCGCATCATTTTTGGAGTTGGGCTACCCAGTTGGGACACTCCCGTGGGACTTGCTGTTGATAAAGCAACAATTACATTCATTTAAACAGCTCATTGCAAAGTAAAAACAAGTCTTCAGGTGGATTTGTTGTGAGGAACTATACAGAGAAATGAAAGAAAAATACTTAGCATTGTGTTTTGCGCTTGAGCAAGGTTGTTTATTAACCTGGATAGAGATAGAAAAAAACTGCAGATGCTGGAACCAAGGTAGACAAACAGGAGACTGGAAGAACACAGCAAGCCAGGCAACATCTGGAGGAAAGGAGAAATCAACGTTTTGGGTATTATCCTTCTTAAGGACTGGATGTGGGAGTACTGGGAACTGCAGATGAAAGTGGGGGATGTGGCGAAGGGGAGGGGGTAGTGGAATGGTGATAATAGGTGGACACCGCTAGTAGGTATGACCTGGCTCATCGATAACCAGGTCGTACCTACTAGCGGTGTCCATCGATCACCATGATTCCACTATCCTCCCTCCCCTCTCTCTTTATCTGCAGCTTCACGTACCCCCACATCCAGTCCTGAAGAAGGGTAATACCCAAAACGTTGACTTCTCCTTTCCTCCAGATGCTGCCTGGCTTGCTGTGTTCTTCTAGCCTCCTGTTTTTCTGCTTATTAACCTGAAACTCATTTGGTTAACTGGACCAGATATTTCTTTAACATTATTTGTCTTTTTGTTGTTTTTAGGGTGACAATTATGCAACTTCAAATTCTATTATCACTGTCAGTAAACCTGCTTTAATATTTGCTTGATAGTTACATGCTAACAAACCGGCAAATGAACAATAAATATTACCACAAAACTAGTTTCATAACAGGTTCTTAAGGTACATACGAAGACGAAAAAAACTATAAGTAAACTATAGCAGACTTAAGTAAAGAGCTTTGTTAAAAATACGGCAAGCAACATTTATAAAATTGTATGATTGTATTGTCATCCATCTTAGAAGAATTCAGGCTTTAATGAGCTTAAGACTTTTTAGGGTCTTACATCCAAGCTACATCGCCGGTCACATAGATAACTTATTTGAACTTTGCCACCTTTCCTTTTAACGCCAATCTCAAAAGAAATAATGACTGCATAATAAATATGCTTTCACTACAATTAACAATAATTAAAATGTTTTAGCAGTTTGCACTTGTGTGTATTGGAAACTTAATTCAACAGTATAGAAAAGGAATGGCATTGACGTGTTTGTAGCAATTTAAGACTTTGTTAAAACCATCAGTTTCGGTCGAGTGCAAACATGTAGCAAATAAGATGCTTCACTATTCAGTACAACAGTTCATCAATTTGCATATTCACACTTTGAATGTTATTACAGCACTCAAATACAATTTAAGTTATTATCCTTTTGCTACTTCTTAGAATTTATGTTGCAGATGTTTGTCATTCAGACATAAAGGTAAAGACTTGTGAACAAGAATCGGATGTAGCCAATGCAAGTCCCATGTCCCAGTTTGCAACTGTTGTTTGGCACACATTTCTTGAATGTCACATCTTTTACACATCGACTACTCACTTGCAGCAAAGTCTATGAGAAAGAGCCTTTTGTCGTGTCTCAAAGTCATGAATAAGTCTTTTGTTCTAAGTGAACTGTTATTTCCAGTATCACTTCATCATACTGCCAAACAAAACCAATCTTAGACTTGGAGAAGTCAGATTCTGACTTTCACTAATGTTGTACCAAGATGGCTGCTACTACCAAGGAAATTAATTCTCAAATTGTAGGAGAACTTGAGAAATGCCAAATTGCACAGGAGACTGTTTAAGCTTTCAGTACACAGTTACATATTGTTACAAAAGGCAGTGTTATAATAATAATATTACTTAAGAACAATACTGATCTAAACTTTGATATTTGGTGTAGCACCTCTTAGAGATCATTAAATATATTTGATTGTAAGAAAATAAGCTTGTGGATATAGAAATATAGGAACATAGGAACAGGCTTAGGCCATTCAGCCCTCAAGCCTGCTCCACATTCAATGAGACCTAATTCAATATACCTGCCTTTGGCCCACATCCTTTAATACCGTCGCTTAACAAAACAAAAATCACAGCTTTAAAATTAACGACTGATCTAGCATCCACTGCCATAGGCTTGTAGAAGAGTTCCAAACATCTACCATCCTTTGGTGTGTAGAAGTGCTTCCTAACATCTCTCCTGAACAGTTGGCCCTAACTCACTGACTATGTACCCTTGTTCCAGAATCCCCAATCAGTGAAAATAGTTATCTATCTCGTCTTTTCCTGTTAATATCTTGAAGATTTCAATTACCCCTCAGGTCTTCTAAATTATGCAGAAAACAGGCTTTTTTTTGCTGTAGAAATTAACTGTGGATGCTGGAAGTCAGAAACAAAAACAGAAATTGCTGGAAAAAAACTCATCAAGTCAAGCAACATCTGTCTAGAGAAAGCAGAGTTAACTTTAGTCCAGTAACTCTTCTTTGAACACAATTTGCTCAAATCTCTCCTCATAACTTAGACCCTGAAGTCCACGTATCAGTCTTGTAAACCAATGTTGTACAACCTCCAAGGCCAATATATCCTTCGCAAGTTTTAGTGCCTAGATCTGCTCGCAGTACTCCAAGGGGATCTAACCAAGGTATAACTGCAGCACAACTTCTGCATCCTCCAGTTCTCTAGATATAAAGGCAAGCATTCCACTCGTTTTCTCTTGATTATTTTCTGCACCTGTTTAAATTAACACAAAAATCTATGTACCTGAACCCCCAAATCTCTTTGCACATCCACTGTATTTAAATTCTTATCATCCAGAAAATAGCCTGACCCATCTGTTGTTGGTCCAAAATGGATAACTTTGCACTTGCTTACATTGAGCTCCATCTGCCACAGTTTTTATGCCATCAATGGCACTGTCTATAATGCCATCTATTTTTGTTCATAAGCAAATTTAGATATGACTTTCTATGCCATTATCCAAGAAAAGTTAATCATAAAAAAGTTATTTGTTGTTTACATTTGTACTCAGGTTGTAACTTTTTTTTTCCCCCTTTTAAAAACAAAATATTCTCTAAATGTAGAATGCTTCAGCTGCTTGAAATCTAAAACACAAACACAGCTTGCTGGAAATGCTCAGCAGACTTGCTGAGCATTTCCAGCATTTTCTGCTTGTACTAATAATCTCAATTCTTGAATTCTGAAAAGATACTTTGACATGTTGAATTTTTCATTTCTATAATTAGGAAAGGGACATTTGTACTGAAACCACTCCTATGAGAGACAGTTGAAAGCACTGAAAACAGACTATTTTTATGGCTAACTTGAGTAAATGATGGTGAGTTTTTAACCCTCAGGAAACCATGGGGATTCCTGAGATCCTGCTCTGTAAATTTTCAGCAGTTGTTTCAGCAATAATCTTATCGATCACTGCTTCCTACTGTTTGCAAAGTGCAATAATCGTGCAAATAAAATGAATTGACAGTCAAATTACAGTAAAATACTGTGGATATTGGAAATCTGAAACAAACAGAATGCTGGAGAAACTCAGCAGATCTGGCAGCATCTGTGGAGCCCGAAACAATATATTTTGATCTTATTTGACTCTTCTACAGAACTGAATGAAGAGATTGTTTTTTGTACCAGGATTATACCACGTGGATTTAGTTACAAAATTCAGAGAATTGAAATTCTAATCAATCAAAAATATGGCACCATGTCAGATACTTGTGTGGAAATGTTATCAATCAGAAATTTTACCATCTGATACTTAAGTTGCACAGTTAGTCAACTTATATGTCTTTAAGACATATCCCAAACAGAGACACAGTAAGATAGGGGCAGGAGTAGGCAACCCCTTACCTCAAGCCTGCTCTGCCAATCTATATTTTAGTTTCTTTTCTATCCCAATACAATTTTCCCATGTTATTTTCATTTGGACGTCATCAATAAGTAAAACTTGCTATTTTCAATACATTCTATACTCATCTGCTGCAAGGCAGAAAAGGTCGGTTATCAAAATAGCTAAACAAATTGATTGGGAAAAAAGGAAATCCAAAATGCAGTTTTTTCTAAAAATTATTTGGTAATCAAAAACGTACTGACCCAAGTTTGATAACGGAACAGCTGATGGGGATGAGAGTGACTGGCTATCCGAGTCTACAGGACCTCCAATAGAACGTGCATGGAGCCATTCCTTGTCTTCCTGTTGTGAACTTGTTCCATATCTATAAATGAGGGGAGGCCATATACAAATGAGTTAGATCTTGACAAATGTGTAAACCAAGCTAAGAATGTGGAAGTTAATGGAGTAAAAGCATATATTAATGTTTCAGATCACAATTTCAAAACGCTTGCTACCTCTAATGAGCTTGAGACAAGATCATTTTAAATGGCATTAATAATAGAACAGTGTGATCTTTGCTATGCAACATGGGGAACGCTGAGTCAAACAGATACACATTTTTGAGCAACCTCTTTTTGGTTGTCTGCCGACCCCTACGCTATTTTATACAGAGTTCCAAACTTTTCTAGTTCCCCCAAAATTAACACCTTTCTGATTGAAAGAAAAACAACATAGTTAAACCAGACAGGAAGTAGAAAACTGTCAATATATTGCTCTCGTTTCAGAACCAACACAGAAGAAAGATGTCAAACTCCTAGCTTTCTGCTTAGAAGGCAAATATCTATTATTTTGGCTATCACTGAGCTACACAGAATACAAGTGCTTCTTTATTAGATCTCAGTTATGAGAATGAACTAACTTCAATATTTGCTTCCCCTGTGCTGTGCTCAGTATCTACTAAGCCCGAGCAGAGCAAGTAAAGACAAACAGTCCACAAATTAAATAAAGTACTTTCTAACATATTGGCAAAGGCAAAACTTGTATACTTGTCTTGTTTTAACCTATAATGAGATGTGGAGAAAGAAATTAATGCTAGGAATACTTAGATCTGGTGTTGAATCAAATGCTAAAATAATTAGGCACAATCCATTACAGTACATAAGAAGCATTAAGAATAGACGGTAGTGGTTACTGTTGCTATTAGTACTACCACCAAGTTATTTGCAATCCACAAATAAAAACAAAAAAATCTTGGAAACATTCAGCAAGCCAGGCAGAACCTGTGGGAAGAGATGTTAAATTCCAGTGAATGGAGATGGGCAGTTAAGTTTTGAACAGTACATGAAACCAGAAAAATAGTAGATAATACATGAGATATGAAAATGCATTCACTGTGCTTGATTAAACATCTAAGATCATTTGATCATTACAGTCCTAAGCTTCTCAACATGTCTTCAAAATAATCATCTATCCCTGTCAAATTGCTTTGCATATAAACAGCAGGAATGAAATAGTTTCTCTTTTTCAGGAAGTTATACTAATATCGGTACAGTTGATTGTAGTTTCATGTCAGCGATTCCATCCAAATAACACATTAGCAATGCTATTTTCATACGAGGACTAATTTGTAAACTTAGAATTATCTCTGATAAACCTAGCAAGATAGCTACATGAAGTAATAACTAAAGTCCATTCTGAAGTTTATCTTCTTTATGGGGACTACTCATTCTGCTACAGATATTCCTCAAAGTCAAAAGTCAACAGAACATATCAAGTTGTGTAATTTGAAGCCAATGTGATACTATTTGTTTTACCGAAGGAAAGTTTCACTTGCAATTCCTTTTATTGATGAGTCCCAGTGAAATTAATACACCTGTTCGTGTTTTAAGAACTATATATACCCAAGTAATAGTTGATCTCATGCAAAAGTTGACCCTCTATTTTTGGCCAAAAAATCTGGAGTTTTCCATACATCTTATGTAAAAGTTGACCCTAGTTCTTCACGGGTGACAGATCAATATTTGGGGTATTATCTTGTACATAAATGTTACGATGAGGAAATGAATTTATTTTTCATGCTATTAGGTGTTTTGAAATTTCTTCATCATTTCCTGTAAAAATGTCCTCCAGAGAAAAACAAGGAACATACAGCAGCATTTACACAGTATACGTTTATTGAAGTTGCAGAAAAGACAAATAATGTGTAGCAGCAAGAGAATTTTGTGTTTTTGGAGAAACTTGAGAGACTGGAGTAAGATATCAAACTAACTTCAGACAATGCCGAACAAAATTGTGCCAACAGAGGTAAAATCAGCAAGTGGCCACAATTGGAGAAAAATGTTGCTGAGTGGGTACTTGAAAATTGCCAAAATGGAAAATGTGTTAGTTGTGAAGCCATTCATATCCATGCATGAAATTAATCAAAGAAGGATGGAATTTCAGATTTTAAGGCAAGTGCTCATGAGAAGGCAAGACTTAGCACTTCAGCAGAGAATTAAGATTGTGCAAAAGTTGCCTGCTGAACTAGAACATGAGATATTACAGTATTGCCATAATTCATTTTTTTTCCTTTATTTGTTTAGAGATCAATTGGGCTTCTGTTAATGATATGGTATTTTGGACTGTAGCATGAATTTCAGCCCCTCAAAAGTACTATTCCTGTAATAGTTGACCCCATAAATTTAACCCTAAAAGAAAGTCTAAAAAAATTTGACTTTTACACAAATATATACGGTATTCAAAATATTTTGCAGCAAGAGCATTATAAAAAATTGCAAGAGGGAAAATTCAAAGTGCAAGTTATACGACTAGTCATCTTATTCATGCTTTCCAAGTCTTCAAGCTTTTAGTTGAGAAATTATCCAAGAAGAATTATCTCATGATAAATTGTTTAGGAATTTAGCTGAAGTTCATCCACTTTGTAACTTTCAATTCAGACAAAATGAAGCTGGATAAATATGAAGGAATTTGGAGATAACTTGTTAGGAAATACGAAAAAAAAATGCATCAACATTATGTTATATGAGATGCTAATGGACAATGTGAGGTCCACACTGCAGCACACAACAATTTTATCAATGGACTTGCTTAGTTTGTGAATTAATGACTGAAAGCTCCTTTGCTTGTGCCAGTTCGGATTCACTTACAACTAAACGGATGCAAAGAGGGTGTGCCTGCCATTTCAGTCTTCTTTCCTATCTGTAGATAGACATGAAATTGTGGGATTGACATGGTTTTATTTTTAATGCTCACTCCACCTGAAGTTTAGGGGACAGGTACATGAGCACGGTTACCAAGACCCAGTACTGTTGCTCACAGTCTTCTCCTCAGTGAATGTAACAAATCAAGCTGAAGATCTACTCATGTCTTTCACAAACTTTCTCCTCTGTAGAGACCTCATTGTTGCTTCAATTGAGAACAGCCGAGTCAACACAATGCGAGTCAAACCTGAGATCTGTGCTGTTCACCTGCTTACTGGAAATTAGAGGACATGTAATGTGATGTTGAAGTACGACTATGAGGGACTTATTTAAGTAAATTGAAACAGGAGACAATCATTTTGCTTCGAAAATCTTTTTGGACTGTGGTGTAACCTGTCTATTTAATCACATAGTTCTTTTATTCTTCAATATTGTGTCATAATCTCGGATTTTTGATCCAGGGAATCCTTTTTAATTGCTCAACTGGGTGTCTGATATCCAGGCAATACCAACCAATAGACACCAGTCAAAATTGTTAATATAGGTTTCAAATTCAGTTTATCTATTGTGTCGTTACATGTAGTGATACAGGAACTTTGTCTGGAATTTAGAATTTGAAACAAACCGCACAAAGAGGTAGTTTACCTTAATCCTTTTTTCGGCAGAGTATTTCTGTCACGTTGTGCACTACAAAAACAAACACGGAACACTGATACAACATCATATATGAGAACAGACAAAACATCTACAACTTAAGTACAGAGTTACCAACAAACAATTGATGAGAAATAAAATGAATATAAATTTGATGGGAATATGACTAAAAAAAATGTGGAGGCACAGGTTATATTTATACTCAGCTACACCAATATTACTTCAAACAATAAAATCAAAATGTCAATAAAGTTATTTTTGTTGTCCTATCTCCAGCATCACCCATAGAAAGTTCACATAGTCATCTGACTATTAATCTCATGCTTGGGGCAGTTGTTTCAACATCCTCCAAGCCTGCCCCAGAACCATTTTACCGCTGGTGTTTTTGTTTGTTTCTGTTGGATGAATCCTTCATCAAGACAGTCTTCAAGAGGGTCTACTGATCAAATCCATATCAAATAAAAAGCATGATACAGTGCAGCACTAACAATTCATGTCCTTGCATTGCAGATTTTTTTCAATGATTTCATATAAACTTACCTTAAATTAATCCAAAACTGTGTTTGGGACTCATTTGCACTTATTTTTTAATCCTCAAAGTTTGTAGTTTTTTTTGAAAAAAAGAACAGAAGTGCAATTACAAAGCAATGCTGAAAGACGGGTAAAACAAGACATCTGGATTTTTACAGTTGTGTTTCAAATTCAAAAGCTTTTTTTTATGAAAATGTTCAAAGGATAAAATAACATTTAACTAATCTAAACATACACCAAATTAGCAAAGAAATACTCAACAAATAGGCAAATCATTGTGAATTTATTCTGTCTGAGATTTCTCTCAGCAGATGGATGCTTTTATGAGGTCAGGCAGAGAAATCATAGGCCTTGGTACTCCTCCTGTTTCTGAGCCCCTCTGTTTATGCCAGCCAGCTAATCTTCTATCAATGCTCATAATGTTACTCCCATACCATGTACCTTGCACATTAACCTTTTTAAGTGGAGCCTTGTCAAATGCCTTCTGGAAATCCAAGTACAGTATGTAAATGGATTTACCTTCACCACAATCCATTTTACACTTACTAATAAAAAAATTCCAACAAATTGAATAAACATGGTTTCCCCTTGGCAAAAGTATGCTGAATCTTGCAGGTTACCTTGAGTTTTTCCGAATGCCAGATATAACGTCCTTAAACGACTGATTCTAACAGCTTCTCCATGACAAACGTCAAAATTACAGTGAAATTTATAGTGTTCTGTTTGCTTACTTGCTCCATTCTTGAATACAGGAGTTATTTTGTTATTTTCCAGCCTGAATCAACGCTGCCAGAATCTAAAAAAATTTTGCAGAATGTACAACAATGCATTTGCTACATCCTGAGCAATCTCTTTTAAAACCTTAGGTTGACGTCCATCAGGACCTGAAGATTAATCAACCTACTGCTCCATCAGTTGCTCAATACAGCTTCCCAAGTGACCACAATTTCACTAAGTTTCTCACTTCCTTCACCAAGGTCTGAAATTTACAGTTATTTTGGGAAGTTATTTGTTTCCTCTGTTGTGCAAGACAGAATCATTATAGCCACCATTTATTGTCCACTATTATTCCTCCATTTCTACTTTCTGGCAGACCAATAATCACTTTACTCTTTTCCATTTTAGAATCCTGTAGAAATTCTTGCTATCTGATCATATATTCTTAAGCTTCCTTCCATGCCCTGATTTATTAGCCTTGATAATCCTTTTAACAGTTCTCTGCTGTGCTTTGTACTCTGACCAGTCATTTGACCTGCCACCCACCTTTATAGAATTATATGCTTTTTCCTGAAGTTTGATGCTGTTCTTACTTTCTTTAGTTAAACATGGATGTTGGGTCCGCCCCTTGGAATTTTTTTTAATAGCATGAATGTATCTATTCTGAGTACTCAAAAATATCTCCTTAAAAAATCTATCACTGTTTATTTACTGATCTTTCACTTCAGCTAGCTTAGCTTTCACGCTCACACAGTTGCCCTTTTACAAGTTTAAAATATTGGGCCCATTGTTTTCCCTTTCAAGCTGATGTAAAATGTATTGATGTTATGACAGTTGCTAGTTAGAGGTTCTTTACTCTGACATCACTAATTAATCTGTCACAATGTACAATACCCAGTCTAGTATAACCGGCTCTCTGGGCAATTTGTGAATAAACTGCTCTAATCAACTCTCTCAAAAGTGAGCTCCTCAGCAAGGCTAATATCACCAATCTGATTATTCCAGTTAATATGTTGATTGAATTAATCCGTAATTGTTCCTGTCCCTCTATCACGTGAGCCTAATATTTCTTCTTGTATAATTTGTCTTACATTGTGTTTAGTGTCAGGGAGCCTGTTGATCACTCCCACAGCAACTTCTGTTCATATATATTTAACAAAGCTTTTTGACTTTTCTAGAGAATGTGTCTATTTATAAAGCCCATCAAAAGCTTAGGTTTCACTACCCAGGTCAAATGACTGGTCACTACCCTCTGAGGAAGGGTCACCAGACCTGAAACATTAACTCTGTTTTCTCCTCCACAGATACTGCCAGACCTGCTGAGCTTTTCCAGCAACTTTGTTTTTGTTCAGGCTTCACTACGATATGCTTCACAACCACAGCTTTTACAGACAATTTCACACATCTTGGTCATTCGTATTATGCAGCCATTCCTTTGACCCTGGACAAATGCAACATCTGAACAGCAACAATATCTCACAACAAGCACAACAAACAATAATTCCACATCCAAATGAGAATATCTTGAAAACAACAACGCATTGTATTGTATGATGACCAGTTTCACTTCCCAAGATTAAAAAGGCAAAATAAACCTTCCAGTAAATTAGCAACAAAGCATTCACCTGCAAGAATGTGCTATTTCAATCCAGAAAAAAGTGACACTTGATAATGAAAAAAGAAATATACTTTACAACTAAGTAATAAGTATTTCTTATTTTAAATTAAAACTAAACATAATTTTAAAATGCCTAATATAGAGCAAATAATAGGATTGCAAAATACTACAGATTCTACAACAGGGCACAACATATTTCTTTTTTTGCAGGGTGTTACTTCTTTGTTTTCATAGATACCTTATTTGTTTTCATGTATAGAGTACTTGGACTTGCACAAAAGCAGAAGGAGAAGAATTCAACAATATTCTCAAAAACCATTATCAGCATACTCTCTAAACTTTGTTCAACTACGTAGACCTCCAAGTTGCATGTGGGGCAGTGACCTCCAGAACCAGACATCAATGCTGCAATCTGTGTCAGCACATTGATTGCAGAACATCAGAGCAGATGCACACACGCACAGCCACACATCTCAAGATGGATGTTTATTGTCAACCTCAAATTTAAAGCCGTAGCACACAAAGTACTCTTTTCCTACACACCACAGCATTTAAGTTTACACAAATTCAACAGATATAAAAGTCAGCAATTAAACTTCTTTTTAAATTTCACTGATGCACACTTTTGCACCATCCTAAACAAACCTTCCACAAACTAGTGAGGTCACAGATTGTATTCCTATCACATTTACACAAACCCAGCAGATTTTAAAGCAGGCAATTACTGCTTTGTTCAAAATCTCAGATTTAAATTCAAATTCAACATGCTAGAATATTCAATGCAAAAACATTCACTGCATCATCTCCAGAAAGTAGTTCCTGAACATAAGCAAGCTTAATTTCAGATTTTTTTATTCATTAACAGGATGAGGGCGTCGCTGGCTAGGCAGCATTTATTGCCCATCCTTAACTTCAGTTCAGAGTCAACCACATTGCTATGGGTCTGAAGTCACATGTAGGCCAGTCCAGGTAAGGATGGCAGTTTCCTTCCCTAAAGGACATTTGCGTACTAGATGGGTTTTTCTAACAATTGACAACAGATTCATCAATAGATTCATTTGATTCTTAATTCCAGATATTTTATTGAATTCAAATTCCACCATCTGCCGTGACGGGATTCTAACCCAGGTCCCCAGAATGTTATCTGGGTCTCTGGATTAACAGTCCAGTGATAATACCTCGAGGCCATTGCCTCCCCATAATTCCTGAATTATTTGCTAGTAATTAATTACCTCAGTGATTTTAAGCGTTCCTGGCTCCCAATTAGCTGAATGTTGATTTTGTTGACAGGGATACAACAGTGTTTTACTTGAAACGTCTTTCTTCCCCTTCTTTTGCAGCTCTCCCTATCTTCACATCCCTTCTGTCCTTTCACTCTCTTCCACTACCCTCCATTTCCTTGTTGCTTTCCCATTTCCCCCCATTCCTCTTAGAACGTCCTTTTCTACAAACCCCTTGCAGCCTCCAACTCCCACCGGGTAATTCTTATAACCTTTCTCTCTCACACATCTTTCACAACCTCCTGTCAACACCACTGATGACTTTGCCTGTAGGGACACATCTACAAGTCAGAGATGGGCATAGCAAAGGGCAGATTATATCATCCAGAACACCTTTCTAAAAAAAAAGTAGTCAATCAAACCAATTGTCCAGGGGCTTGCTCCAGAACAATCGCATCTCAATCCCTGGAACTTTGTACTGGAGCAGAGTACATTCTTGTGAACACATGGAGGCCTTGAGAGAGGGGCAGAGGAGCCTGAGCTGAAGGCTAGGACTCTCTTGTTTAGCACCGTTTGCAGCCCTTTCTCCTGGTACTGGCTTCTGGCGAAATAAGGGCTAACAGAGAAGCTGTTTCTGATTGCTATGTTGAAGAACAAATGGAATTTCAAATTAATTATGGATTATCAGTCGCGATCAATGATAACAGAATGTCATCCAGCATGAAAATATCGCAAAGCATCATGTTGACATCTTCCTGCTCCATCACTCAGTTCAATTTATTTTAATTGAAGTAGAAGGCTAAATAGTGAGAATCACATGATTTAAAGATGAACTAGAATCTGGCTGCTAAGAAAAAAGAACCTAATTACCACTTATGGAATTCAATGCTATCATTTTCAATGTAGCAACAAGTTGATTTGCATTAAGTGTTTACCACTATACTACT